ATCTATGTCGTATATCTGTACTTCTAGCTCTGTTCCATAGTGTCTTACCATCAATTTTTCTAAGTGTTTTCATCTCTGCTGTTTCTAACATCCTTTTTGTCCTCTCTGTGTCAGGTCTTGTTTCTGCCGCGTATGTCATTATTGGTCTGATGACTGTTTTGTAAATTCTGCCTTTCGTTTCTTTCCCGATATTTTTATTTCTCCATATTGCTTCATTTAGGCAGCCTGCGGCTCTGTTTGCTCTATTCACTTGATCTTCCACTTCGTTTCGAGTTTTCCGTAGCTAGATAATGTGATGCCTAGATATTTAAACTCCATCACTTGTTCTATTATCTGACCTTCCAGCTCCAATTTATATCTTAGTAAATTTGCTGTTGTAACCATGCATCTAGTCTTTTTGTTTAGTATAAATCCGGCATCATACATTTCGTGTTTTGGGCCTCTCCTGAAATATAAAGAGTATACGCCCTTTTGCACTCTTTCCCTTACATATAATTTTTTTGCGAGGCAGTTATTGAGTGATATCTTTGTCTAGTTTGAAATTCCCATCTTTGATATATCTTTCCATCTTATTTTTGGCCTTCCTTTTTGGTTGGTTTATTAGTGGTTTTCAGTTTGTTATCTTACTAATTAGTGCGTCTTTTTCTCGTTTGTATGTGTCTTTGTGCTTTTATAAATTTTACTATGTCTTCCCCTTCAGTTAGATTACATATTTCATGGTTTCTATTTTATATTGGGCCGTGTTTTCTTCACATAATTTTCTTTTCAATTATTCTTAGTTTTACTTCATCTTTTTTAGTAAGCCACTTTTTTGGCCAGGTTTTTGTCTTTAAGTAGTCGATGATATTTCCAATAGACCCCGTTTTCCGCTTTAATTCTTTCACTTATTTCTGCACTTCTTCCATTTTTGCCTTCCATTAACATCCCCGAGTATTTACAGTAACCGACCATCTGGAATTTATTTTCACCTATTTTTATTTCTGTTCGTCTGTTTACATAGTTTCTTGTACTTATGTATTATTAATTAAGTATTTTGTTTTACTCTGATCGATTATTATTTCTCTGTTCTTTGCTTCTCTGATTAACGTTAGGACTGTTTCTTGTTGGACTTGAAAAATTGTCTTTTTTTTGCAGCTTTGTCTCTTATTACTCCTTCTAGTATGATATTAAATAGCTCTGTTGACAGACTATCTCCTTTTCTTACGCCGTGTTCTATATTGATGTCATCTGTATCTCCCTCGGTTGTTTTTAGTCTTGCGAATAGTCCTTCATTGTCATTCTAGTCAGCCCTTTATTAATTTTGCTGGTATTTCCAACTTTTTCATTTCTTTCAATAACTGAACTGTGTTATCTGTATATGCTATCGAAAGCCTGTTGGATGTGTATTTCTATGTCATGTTCAGAGCTTTTTTCGATGGTTTGCGTTAGTACGTATATTTCATCTATTGTAAATCTACCTTTTCTAAATCCCTGTTGATACTGTCCTATATTTTTTCTATGTAACCATTTAGTCGGTTTCTTATGAACGTGGTCGGGATTTTATACATTGTGTTTGGTAACATAATAGCTCTATAGTTGTTACACTTCGTACGGTCTCTCTTCTTAAAAATCGGTGTGATGTGTTAGTTTTTCCATTCTACAGGCATGTCTTCGTCCTTCCAGTAGTTTGTACATCCGTTTTAGGAGCTCTTCTCCTCCATTTATAGTTATTTTGTAATTTATTTCATCTAACATATATATTATAATCTTCTAATTTCTTTGCAATTTCTTGGATTCTTCTTGTTTTCGATAATGTCTGGACATTCCATGTTCCTGTTCCTTTCTTTACCATCGTATTCGTATCCGTGTTGTTTTGCGTGAGTCGTCTCCGTGAAGTCCGCCCAGTATACCTTTATTGAACTTTTGTAACAGCATTCTCGTTACATGAACATGTTCTTAGCCTTTTGTTTAACTTCCTACCTGGTGGGTCAGGGACTTTTCTTTAGCGGTTACCATTCCTTAGTCAAGGGGCTCCAGATTTAAGGCGCTTCACTCATCCCAGCGTGGGTAGGATTTTATAGAATCATCAACTTTATTGACTCGCCAGGTTAAATTTGTCGATATGTCTTTTATTGACAGCGCCCACTTGGCATAAGTAATGTCACCAAGATTCCATTTCAAGCCATTCGCCATTCTTCTTTCTTATCTGGGCTTAGGACCGACAACGGCGGAGTTCTTTTTAAACCAATACTACCGTTTTATTTGCATAACAAATTATTTTAAAGTTGCCTTCTAACCATTTAATATACGTCACAACAGTTTCCAAGTCATATCTCTGCATTTCTTACTTTACTAAGTATTATTCATTTTCTTGCTATCTGCTCTTGTTTTCATAAAATATGTTGTAGGGTACTGTTAAATCATTTAGATAGTTTTTATTTGCTGGGTTATTTATTAAATTCAAAGAGTCTTAAACTATTTCAACATCCATAAGGCAGGAAAATATTTAATTTTTGCTGTTATTGCGTCCATGTTATTTTAACGTTGACTTTTGACGTCACTGGAAAATTTTAGTTGGACCTTGTAGAAAGCACTTTCCACAACACTTTTATTAAGTGTATACTTATGATAGGGTACGGATATAAATAAAACAATGTAGTATAATAAAAACTTAATAAATTATCGTCTATAATATACAATCCCAACAAAAACAACAGTAATAAATTATTATAACTTATGACATGTGTATATACTCAAGTGTGTGCGTCTAAACATATATCAGAAGTTTTAGATTTTTCAAATTTAAACGACATAGTATGATCATAACATTTTCTGTAGGTAATAAACTAACAATTCCGTATTCTACGTACTTCACAGACACTTATTTCTAAAATTTATTATAAATGGTAACTTTTTTCATCCTCATATAATATTCGCGTTAATATTTTTGAAATCAGGTCATATTCATACAAGACGCAAATAAAAACAGTAAACTGTTTAAGTAACTTATTAATATTATTAATATTTTAGTTTGTTAAGTGTGGCACCGATGGCGGCCGCCAACAGTTATGTCAGATATACCACTAGCACCCATCAATGCTAGATGTATTTACGATTTCATCTACGAAAAATTAAAATCGGTATATTGATTCTTTTTTTGGCACGCAGCGACTGTGTTAACTTATTTTGTGCTTATGTTATCTGAGGGGCAGATGTGGTCACCTTCAATGTTGCCACTATTATCCGCCACGATTTTGAGTACAGCTCCAGCATGCTTGCTTAAGTTGTTGAGCTATTTATTGCAATAAAAAATTTATCTACAATTTATTTTTTTAATATTAATCAATTCCATTTTTATATTAACTACTATATTTTATGAGAATAAATAAATTCTTGTAAAAAAATAATTTTTAATTTGTATTTTGAGAACTCTTTTTGAGGTGAAAATAAAAAAAAAATAATTGAAACGTCAAATATGAAATACTTTTGTGATAATCGTGGTTTATGCCCATTTATAGTAGTTAATATTTCTAAATACGTAATTCACTTCGGAAACAAAAGAAATTGGCCATTTTTTCTATAAACCATTTGCATAAATTTAAAATGAAATATTTTCAAATATTTTTGAGGATGTGTTTCCTTATTTATAGGTATAAGGTTTTTAATTTTGTTATCTATCTTTGTTTTATTTATTTAATTTTATTATTTATTTAATATGAACGATACCCATTTACACCAACATTTTTCTGACACTGTATTATTATTTAAATATACACCAGTATACCAGTAATTAGATCGCCTAAAAAACGTAGAAATTTGGGATTATCAATAGTTATGAATTATGCATATATTTCAATAAGGGTTTTAAAAATCCGACAGTCTATGCATAATTTTCAAGCGTAATTCATTTGACATAATATGAAGAAACCATTCAATATAGAGACAATTTATTTTATCTTATATGGTCCAGGTCTAAAGTTATTAACGCCACTATTGATGCGTTTCGAGATCGCAGCACAGTGATACAGAATATACAGAGTGGGAACACTAAGAGCTGAGGTTTACTAAGATGAACATTTTATATCCGTAATTGTTTATCACGGAAAAGTCGATAGGTACGATAAGGGATTTCTTATCAATTCCGCCGAGTTTTGACTTTTATTTAAAGTCAACACTCTCTAGTAAAAATGGTATATTTTATTATGAAAAGAGTTTTTGTGAGTTTCGATCGACGAAGTTTGATATAGCGTAATACAAAAAAATTTGGTCGTAGTAATAATTAATCTAAATGTTGCTTAGAATGCAACTTATAACGGTTGTACTCGAGGGACACTTAGAATGAGATATTGCAATTAATTACATTATTCAAATGAATGAATCATGTAGCAGAAGTTAAATAGCCAAGGAAGTGGGAATTACTTCAAAAGTTGTTGTGAAAGTGGGTAGGAGTAGAATGAGATTGCAGTGTTCATCGGCTGTATATTCATTTATTAGAGTTCCTACCTTGTATGAGTAAGTTTTTGACGTCATCACTGGTGAGTATAAAGGTCACAGCGCAGTACATTCATTTACTCTAAGGAAAACACTGCAACTTTTGCGAATCAAAAGTATACTAAATAAGGTATAAATAATTCTCAATGGACTGGGTGAATAAAAAGTGTAAATTAATAAATAGGTACAGAAAAGTAGGTAAATATTAAAAGAAAAACTGTTTAAGACATGGAAGAAATTGGGTAAATACATAATAAAGAACCGGCCGAAGTATTTTTATGCCAAAATTAGGCTTTAAGTGAGTTCCAAGTAAGAAAGGATCAACTGTCTAGAAAACATTTGTGTAACTGGCTATCGCTCAATCGTTAACCAGAAAACTACAAACCAAAGTTTAAGAAATTTGCTAGTTTAACGTTAAAACCGCCTCTGACTCTAAACATCACTATACGAGGACGGTTCAATAAGTAATCGATCACGTCGTTTTATTATCACCGGAGAGGTCTCAATGATCTAAAACTTCCAAAGGATGCCTAAACGAATTCGGCGTTTCTCCAAGACTTGGTGGTGCATACACCGGGGCCCCTCCACCAATCGTTGACATCCTCGTAGTGCCGCTGTGTCGATTGAGGCGCGTGCATCATGGCGCACAGGCGGCACCAGAAGTATGTGTTAATAAATTCTCCGGTGCCTTTCCATTTGAAGTAGGAATTGTATAAGTTGTTATCGTTATCTAGTCGGTGGAGGTAAGCGGCCAGTTCTTGAGGACCGGCGAATTCATCTACGTGAATATAGGAACCTGCAACAAAATTTTCAACTTTTAATATATAGAGAAGGATACATTTTTACAATTTTTTACTTTCTAAAGTTTCTTCTAATATTGAAAATCAGCATAGCTATCATCAGCTATAGATGTATGAAGTTAAGTCATAAAAAGTGAAATATAAGACTCATATAGATATATATTTAAATACAGGAAAAACAAAAATAACATCTCATCCAGAACTAATCAGTAAAAATTCTTCTACGAAATTTATCTAATAAGTATTCAGTGTTCATGAAATTGCTTTAAAATAATCATTTTTTTTAATAAAGGCTCTAGAATATTGTATAGAAAAGAACCAGCATAATATAGCATACTTACATTTCTTTGAACGATATAAGCACTTCAACGAGTGACAGGAGATTATGCTTATTTTTGTTCCAGAATCGCTTTTGATAATATCTGCCACAGTTAAATGGCAATAAAATTGCCATCTTTTGCAATCTAAAATCTATAGATCTTTTACTTTTAAAATTGATAATTATTTCCACTACAATAGTTCTCCAGTAATTATCGCTTGTATTTGGAGCTATTGATAGCTCTCTTCATTATATTTACTTCTCTATATAGTTTATTCCTGTATTTATTTACTTATATGTATATTTATTTATATATTTCCACAACGGTTGCAGTGTTTTTGGTAATATTTAACAGCCACTAATTTTTGGCACAACAATATCACAATTCCACTTCCATTCCATACATTACAATTCAATATTCTATTTCGTATCTATATTTGGAGTCACACTTTAGTCTCCAAAAAGTACTTGCCGCCTAAAATCCAATTACTTGGCCCGGACCGCTCTGGAGCGAAGCATTTTTTAATAAATGTGTAGGCAAGTTCAACAGCTCTTTTATTGCTGCTTATTCCCGATGCCTTGAAAAGCATATCACTGTGACACTGTTATATTCCGTCAGACTGTTGAGTTCCACTCGGCATTCCCTTACTAGCCTGGAATCCACCTTAGATTTCTTAAGAGACCTCATAGCCGCTTGGCTATCATATATTGATCGGTTTAAGTTCGAAAGTCCTCGTGTTGCTCTATTTCAATATTACATGGTGAAATATTGTATATATATCTGCCTGGAATAAAGAAGTATGTCTCCTACGACTACAACCAAATATTCCTGCACTGACGGTTCTGCAGTTTTATATACCTCTGTTCACCGGGTATAATCTAGCAGTCTGACTCGAGCGTTTCCTCTGCCTCATTCCTCTCGTTGCCAAATCTCGACTTGTAAATGTACTTCAGGCCTGTGTCTGGGTACCACATAGCCAGATATAATCATACATCGGTATTTATGATTTCATTTATAATACTACTATTTGCTCATCCAACGATAACCTCATAACGATGTGCAAAGGAAGAAGGTCCAGTAGGGCCTCCATAACTACTGCTCATGTGACGCTCAGAGCCCTGTGATTCCAAAGCAAGCAAATGTTTGTACCTTGCTTAATGTAAGGATAGCACTTTTTTTAACTTTACATTTAACTTTTAATTTAACTTGCCTTGGGCTAAGACGAGCAGGACAACCGTATATCCCAGAACATGATGCATGTCCTGAGTCTAGAAATAAATCTATTCCTGACCAGATTCTTTCATTCAGAAGAGCAGATAAGATTCTTTCCGGCAGATAGCCTCTAACTATCGGTACTGAAAATGAATCCCCCAGTAACGTTACGTATCTCCTCAGCACACAATCTATCCATCCACAGCTTATTTCGTCTGTTTCTTCTAGACGAACCGCTGATTTGATTGGTTCGTAGGAGGTGTTGTCGAATGTTTCCTATATATCGAAAAATGCACCCAGAATCACCTTTTGGTTTTCCAGAACGTAGATACTCCACCCTCTGTACGAGATTGTTTAGTGCTGTTTATGTAGAGAGTATAGAAGGTTATTTCCCTTCTGTATAAGTATTGGATAGATTATATCCTGACAAGATGATTTATTTGGCTAAAATAAGTTTATTTCCCATTTTGCCCTGATTTACCAGTTTTTTTTGCCGCACACCAATTTTTCCTAGATCCGTAATAGTATCAGTTTTGTTTTAGACTTGGGAAAGTTCACCTTGAAAAATTTCTTTCAAGGTCTCTTCACAATTCTAAGTGTATTCACCTGACTCCAAGAGTCCCATGAAAAGACTTGAAGAAACTATGGAGCCTTAACATTTCTGTTCCTTAGTATATTCAGTTTAGATTTACGATAATCGCACCTATTTCCTGATCTTTTGGCGAAATTAAATTTTTGTCTGACTTCTGTTCTTTTAAACTTTGAAAAATTAAGGCAAATATCGAGCACAAATTTAATAATCAAATCTTGCCCAAGTACTTTCGCTTTCTACACCATCATCAGGGGTATTTCGTCAAATTTGGGCTATCCAACAAGCGCAGAATGTACTAAACATGAAATTGGACATAAATTGTACATAACACTACATTAAAACAAGGACAAACAATTTAAAATTATTCTACTCTCTACATTCTTGTCGGCAACCTTTCTTTTACCTATTCTTTTAACGAAAGTTGTGAAGTTACGAAAGTTGGTTTGTGTCCTACGTGTAGTATGTCTGAATTATGTTTCGGCTGCAGGACTCTGAAGCCTTTCAGGCCTCAGATGGTTATGACTGATACCTTTTAAGTTTATAATGCATTTTTCGTAAATTCTATAATTCATGCTTGACTTCTGACTGGAGTTTTTCTTCTGGGGACATTGACTGTAATGTTAGTGATTTTCTAAATAGACTTGTATCTATTTTTAATAGAGCATTTCCTTTATTAAACATCAGACCAAAACATTACAAACCTTGGATAACCAAAGGCATTCGCATATCTGCGAAGAATATGCATTCTCTGCTATATATTAAAAAAATTAATGACAGTATTCCCATCTCTGATTATATCAATAAGTACAGAAAATGCTATCTAAAACTATTCAAAGTAGCCAAAAAATCCTACTTTCATAATCGCCTAACAAGCTCCAAAAATATTTCAAAAGAAACTTGGTCAATAATAAACGATTTTCGAAATAAAACCAGTGCAGCGAATCAAACCTTTTCTTTTCCTAACCCCGAAAATCTAAATGATTACTTTGTTAATGTGAGTAAATCTATAACCTATTTCTAACTATTTCGTCACAACAAGATCCAGTTTCCTATCTCCCTAATTCAAAAAACATTGCTGACACCTTCTTTTTAAGACCAGTTGATAAGACTGAACTCATTTGAACAATTCGTACCTAGTATAAACAGCAAATCATCCTGTAGTACAGATGGATTATCTATTAAAATTTTCTTAAATCTTCCGCATAATGTTATGGAGGTCATAGTCTCGCTGGTAAACGATTCCCTTGAAAAAGGTGCATCCTAACTGCCTAAAAACTGCCATCATAATTCTAATCATAAAGGTGGAGAAAAATCTGATGCCTGCAACTATAGACCTATTGCCTTGTTACCAACACTATCAAAAATTATTGAAAGGCTTATAAAAGTCCGACTTATGCCCTTTCTCCTTAAACATAATATTTTATCGCAAAATCAGTTCGGCTTTTTGGCATAAATCACGACATTCTATTAAAAAAATTAACTTTCTATGGAATTCGGGGTGTGTCTTTGAGATGGTTCAAAACTTACTTGGTAGGTAGGAAACAATTAGTTAGAATAAAAGATACTGACTATAGTTGTAAAGATATTGAGTGTGGAGTACCGCAAGGTTCAGTATTAGGTCCCATTCTTTTTTTACTTTTCACTAATGACATCACTTACTTGAAAATTAAAGGGAAAATTTTTCTATTTGGTGATGATACCAGTATTACTTGGAGCAACTCTAATATTTCAACGCTTTATTCAATTATAGCTGCTGATTTGTTTATAATCAAGGCTTGGTCAGACTCCAATTTACTTGACTTTAACGTGGATAAGACAGTAGTATTATCTTATAAAGGAGTCATTCAACCCTTGCTTTTGAATGAGAGCCAAATCAGTATCGTTAATTCCGTAACATTTCTAGGTATTCTTATCGACAGTGATCTTAAATGGTCCTTGCATACTGACTCCTTAAGGAAGAACTAGCCTCAGCTTGCTTTGCTCTAAAATGGGCTTCCATTTTAGAGTTCTAGTACAACGGCCCAATTTGATACTATTTTTAAGTTGCAAAAAATAGCAATTCGTTATCTATTTGGTCTCAAACAAACAACTCATTGCAAGACCTACTTCAAAAATCATGGAATTTTGACGCTTCCCTCTTTATTTATTTTGGAAACGGTTTGTTTGATTCGCAAGCATCTAAACATTTTCCCGATAGACCTGCTCATGGCTACTCCATTAGAAATTCGGATTGTAACGTTTATTTACTGATACCGTCCACTCAGCTAGTAAAGAATTCTATTCTATATAGTGCAAAAAAAACTATATAATCACCTTCCAAGAAAAATTAAATCCGCATCATCTTTCATTAAGTTTCGTAAGATGACAAAAATCTATCTGTCTGAAAGACCATATTATTCAGTTGACGAGTTCCTTAATGTATAACAAAGAAACAAAATTAGTATTGTTTATAATTACATTTGGGTGTCTCAAGCAGTGGCTACAATTTGTTTCATTTGTTGTTGTCTGTACAAATTATGTAAGTTATACAATCATTTTACTAATTTAAAATTGTATTGTTCTAGTTTTTTATTATATTTGTTTTTGTTTTATATTTTTTATACTATTTGACTAATTTCTTTTAGCTTTGTCCATAAAATTGTTCAATAATTTTCAGTGACAATAAAGCATATTTCTATTCTATTTTTTTTAGCGACCAGTCTCTCTTCTTAAGATATTGTGTATGCTTTTTTGTATACTCGTTACCACAGTTTAAACACAGTGTCCATGGGCTAAACGTTGTTTTATGGAGTCTGCTCAATTCGTTTTATGCTAAGTCTGCTTTTTAGTTCCTCGGTTTTTTAGCGACTTTGTTGTGGGTGGGTTATAGTATTCTCTTGAGAGCTCGTTTAGCGTCGTGTTTTGCTGTAGTTTACGTTCCAGGAACCATTTTTTGATCTTCCTCTGTCTATCGCCACAAAAGCGTTTTTGAAACAAAAAGTCTCTTTTTGTTTCAAAATTTAATCTGATCGTTCTTGTTGTGTTTATATTTATAAATTTAGAAGAATTACTCAAATCTGAGCCCTCTACTGAGCGATCTCTTTTTGGTTTAATCTAACTGCCATTTTTTGTTTTTCTATCAAGTAGCACTTATGCCATGTTCTCAGTTAATTTACGGGTTATCATATTTGATTGTATCTTATTCACACTTGTCCCATTTATTCATAAAACGTTACTTATCAGTTATTGGTATGAGACGTGTTGGGGTTGTGAACATGCCAATGTATATACACATATATACAGCACGGCGTCGTCAGAATTATAACCAACTGCTTAGAAGTTACCTAACTAATAATATTTACGAATATTCACGTCAATTCATAATTAGTTACTACTGTCCCAATTTTTCATCATGTACCCCCTAAACAGATGATGTATTAATACTAAAAACTTTACATTTTTATATGTTCACAATTTTCTACATTCTATACTATACCCAAAAATAAGTAACGGTGTGAGAAAATGACAGCATCAAATTGTGATTTACCAGGAAATGACGAATACTATCTAAATGATTGTAAATCTTACCTTCAGGTGCACTTCTTTGGTAGTCTTCTGGCCGAGCTCCCATAACGATAGGAAGAACGTTTTGTCCCAGACCGTTAACATAAAATTTTTCGGTTATATAGTCTCGACAATTGGAATTTTCAAATGCCAAATAAAATTTATAATCCCTTTCTAATATTTCAAAACATTTTCTATCTGATCTAGGACACTAAAACAATACAAATATGTTAGTATTAATTAGTATTAATAAATGTCTTATAACTTAAACAATTGGTTAACTACGGTAAAAGTCACAGTGGTTTTTCAAAAAACATTTGAGTTTGAACACGTGTTGTGCGGTTTTAATTCAAGTTATTAAAAATAGGTAGACGAAATGTTTGAAATTATAACACAGATTATGTATTTACAAAAATTGGATTAAAACTTATTGCAGGATTGGAATATGTAAGGTTGAAGTGCCACAGGGATGAGTAATGTCACCTTTTCTGTATACCATTTATACCGAGGATGCACCAATCACACGCGAATCATGCTGTCTATATGCAGATAATACAGCAATACCAGCGAGAAGTCTGGATCTAAACTTAGCGAGAAGATGCCTACAAAATGCGTGAAGTCAGTTCTAAGATTGGTGCGTTCAATGGAAAATCACAGTAAACCCAGAGGAGTCACAGGCATTCATGCTTCAAAAATTATTCGGAAGTCCAGACCGGCAAGTGAGGATGTTATGATAGAATAGACCAATCAGGCAAAATACTTAGAGGTTCTAATGGACAGAAAAATGACATACACTGTAGCGTTTACGCTACTGACTAGTCCAATTTAAACCCCTCAAGAAATTTTTATTACCCGCCTACGATCGATTTTAAATCGACATTTTTCCCCACACGCGCTGTTAGTCGCTTTAAAAGGAAGATCGATTTTGTGCGGAAGCGAAGCGGTCAGTTTTGGTCAGAACTCAACGCAGCCACGTCAACCGGTGAAATTTTTCACCTTCAAAGTGACGGAATTGGAGCAAGGAAGATAATTTGGGGAAGAATAAATTAATTCATAAATAAAATACATATCTTAGTAATAATAATAAGTAAAATTTTTAAAATCAATAATCTAAAGAGTTCCACATAAAAGGAAGATTTTTTTGGCGTGCTGCGACTCCATGTAAGTAAATCATTTCATACGTATTATCTCTTTATCATATAATCAAATTTATCATTGTATTTAGTATTTCTTTAGAGATTTATTTTTAGTTCCGAAATAATCTAAATATAAAATTTCCTTGATTTACTTGCAAAGAACAGAAGGTCATTTTTTTTATATAGTTAAACTTAAATTCTGTTTTAGTCCATGTCGTTATCATTAAGTTTTTTGGTTCTTTTTTTTCTCTAACTTTTTTTGGTGGAATATAAAAGGTTCTACAAATGTGGTACAGCCTTCTGTATTCTGCGCATGTTCATTTCATGGCGCAAGCCTGTCATGTCTACGAAATGAACTTCGGAAATTTTGACATGTTGACATAACCTAATACCTAATGTTTTGATGTTTTGTTTTGGTGCAGTCAATCCATGCTGCTACACCTATTAAATTACATATTTATTAAATTAAATAATCATTTTAGATTCCGTCACTTCACTTGAGGATATTCTCTTCAAGGATATTAGTAACTTTGAATCCTTAGAACTAGTTAGCAACTTGTGTATGTAACCCGTGGATTTTGCTGTCACCCAGAGACCAGTGACTGGTTGTGGCTTTTGTGCCCAGGATTCGTCTTTACAGCCATAAACTGATGTAGCCGTGCCAAGAGGAGTTTTTCCTATGGACTTATAGTGCTGTAAAGATAAGTTGTTTAATTGTTTAATTTTTGTTACTTCCTATTTAGTAGTATACCCTCTTCATATGCATATGACAAGGTGAACATTTTTTTTTGATAATCTAATTCTAAAATATTGGGGAGAAGAAAATACATTACATGTTTTGGCAAATCTATAGAATAAGTGCCGAGAATTTGACATAAACGTCATGTCAAATTTGTGTCTGCGGTATTGCCATGTCCTTATTATGTGTATGTTTTATGCCTCAAATATGCTTTGAAACAGTACATTTTTATTATATTATTTTATGAAATCGGGTATTTTTTAAAATTTTTTGAATTTATATGAAACACGAACGAATGAATATTTGTTTCTTTTGATATTAGTTGCAGTTAGTTATTAGAAAAAAAAATTATAATTGGCCTTTGGTAGATTAGTAAATAAACTTGGCAATACTGTCAAAATTTTGAAAACAGTAGTTGCCAGATTGCAACAGATGTTTAGCAGATTTCAATTTTATGATTTTTATGACTATTTTCTTATAATTTTGGGGTGAAATGGTACCTGAATATCGTTTTGTTAATGTATTAGCTAGTTACTGGAGCTTGTTCAGATCGATATTTTTTCAAATTTACGTTGCAGAGATTAAATTATCATTATTGACAATTTAATCCTTAAAATGTGAATAACAAAGTAAAAATATATCGGTAAAGATGTTTAATTAAATTTAATAACTTAAGAATTTAAAAGCTTAAAAAATTAAAGTTAATTTAAATTATAATAAATTAAATTTAAATTAATTAAACTTCTTTCAAAAACTTAAAAAGAATGTTGAACATTAATTAATATTATATCGCATGCTCTTTCAGGATTTATTTGTGATATGGCAACACTGCCAAATACAGATCTGTCACTAATCTTCTGTCAGTTCCTCGGCACTTGTTCTCAGGGTTACCAGGTCTACTGATTTTTCAGTAGATCTACTGATTTCAACTTCAATCTACTGATCTACTGAAATAGTATATAGATCTACTGAAAAATCTGTGATGATCAAATTATTGTCAAAAAGTCATCATTATATCAGTGCTCAATTATAAATTTTGGAAAAAATAATTTCTCATTCATTCTTATACACAATGCAACATGCATCAATTCTCGAACGTATGAATAAACACTTTCTTCTTTTTTCTTTATTAGTTATAAACGATAATTTATAACTATCGAATCAAAATCCGGGACTTCCCCGACTACGTTTTTACTTCCGAGGTCTTTACAATATCTGATGAATTGATATTTTTTATTTTTTTTTAAATATTTGTTTCCTGCAAGTGTAGATTGTGGGTTGTTATAAATATATATATATATATATATATATATATATATATATATATATATATATATATATATAATATATATATATTATATATATATATATATATATATATATATATATATATATATATATATATAATTCCAATCTACTGATTTCTATTGATTTTTTGAATGGAAATCTACTGAAGATATAAAATGTGACCTGGCAACCCTTTGTTCTATAGGTCTGCCCATGTTTTTATTGGGTTTTTAAATAGGATATACAGAGTCTGACCAAACTCACTTTTTTGATATAATATTTTTGTTAATATAATACAATTTGATATTGAGAGAGGGACATAAATTTAATGTGTTTTTTTTTAAATATGATATAATGAGTATGGAACAACTCACTTTTTGGATGTAATATATATTTAATATAATTGTAATAGAGATTTATCAAGTTTGATATCTTTACAATATTGTAATTTGTATCTCATATTAGTAGAACTATTTAAAGTTAAATTACTACCTTTTTGTGTTAAGACTTTGGCTACCCTACGGACTATTCTTGGTTTATACTAATATTTCATATTTTATTTGGCCAGTGGTAGTGACTATTCGTTTGTTGAGGGGCTATTAGGTCCCATTGTATGTGTACACCATCCACTACCACTGTTATTTGGCTTTGCATTATATGTAAATTGTTTATACACATATACCTATATACATTTTTTATAAATATATTTATTGTTGCTATTTTGAGTTTTATTTCAGTTCTACTAACCAGTATATAACATAGCAAAACAAGATTATTATTTAGTATTTTGTATTTCAGAGTATTATCTCCAGATTCATTTGTTACTTCAAAATCTCAACTATCGTTGAGTTGGCGCCCTTCTTTTCTCTTCTTATTGTTCTCTTTCTATAAATTTATTCCCAGTGACCTTCTTTAGTTGTATCACGTTTGATATTACCAGGTCTCATTTCGTTTCTTGTCTCATTAGCTCAGTATCCTTGCTATCTGTTTATATCTTTAAAGCCACAATCCAGTGCATTGAAGCTAGCCCGAACACTCACTTGAGATTTAGTGTCTCTTTGGCCATTTAAATTTGTTCCTCTGAGCTTAGCCCTATTTTTAGTATTTTTTTTCATCACTTCTCTTCCAGTTCTTCTGGAATTTGGAAGTCTTACACTTCCTAAAATCCAATACTCCCGGAGTATTGAGCGTTTCAATTGGCTAGACCCAACGTGTGGCTTCTTTTCCACTTCTGCCTTTAAAAAAAAAATATATATATATCTCCTTTAACTTTTGATTTTGATCTTGGGTTGTTGTGGTTTTCACTGGTTGTGCTTTTAGATTTTCATTTTAACGTTTAGTTTTGTTTTTCAATTTTTTTTTGGACATTACCTTATATCTATATCTTAAATCGACTTGTTTTGCTATATACTGTGTAGACTGAATAAATTGCTTTGTTTTTGATTGATTAAATAACAATTTTAGATTAATAATAAATTAATTAAAAATTTAAATAACTAAAGTTAACTATTTCACATATTTTACAAGTCCGGAGTAGTCAATAAGTTGAGTCACTACCTCGAAATAACAGTTTTTGAAATTTTAGGTTCCTTAGGGTGTTGTAGCAGTATATGTCATTGGATTTCATAACTGGACCAAAACAATTAAACATTACTGGTATAGGTATCCCTTCAGAATATTAATTTGGAGTCAGAGAGTAAGTTAAACTTTGCCTACTTTTACTCATTCTCTTGTATATTTCTGTTGTGTAATATGTCTGCGTTCAAGGTAGAGCATCTGTTAGCTCCTGAATTAGAGTATGAGTTGAGAGTCAGTCATCTAACCAGTCCATTGTTAAAAAATGTTGTATAATGTACAGAATGTACCAGGTAAATTTCCTGATCATACCTGTAATGGAGTTTATCTTTACCTTAATTGAGTTTATCTCGTACCTTTACCTTAATTGGTTTATCTCATACCTTTACCTTAAGTTAGTTATCTTTACCTTTACCTGGATAAGTTTATTTCTTATCTATATCTTATGAATATATATCTTGTCTTTATCTTGATTATAGAGTCCTAAAAATCTGTCCTTTACTGTTCTTGTCGTGAGTAAAGAATTGGACCACGTAAATAGTACAGTTTGGGTATTATAGTTAGGATCTCTTTTATCTTTCCTTCTACCAAGTGTATAGCTAGTAGAAGTGAGTGTTGTGCATATCCTCTACCATGAGTAGATCTGGACTTGCAATTATCTGTTACCTTTTGTGCATATCCTTTACTATGAGTTGGGATTGCAGTTATCTTACTTACCTTTTTTTTTAGCATACCCTATACCATGAGTATAGTGGGCTTGCTAGTATCTAGGCTTACTTGTGCCTTTACCGATTGTGTGTTTCCCTACCGCTGCTAAATCAAGTAGGTGTATTGTATTATCTTTTACTTTGAATTTTCAATACGTTGTTGATATCTTGAACCATATATATGTTTAGGTTTGTAGTTTCAACTAGTCCTGAGTAATTAGGCCCTCATTGAACTCTATGGTGACGAATAGAATAGAATGGAAAATGTTCAATTTTAACGTATCAACGTTCATTGTCGACCCAGCGTTAGATCGTTCTGCCAAAAAAAAAAAGTTCCTTTTTTTTTTGCTGGAGATGAGGGAGAATGTAGCGTTTACGCTACTGACTAGTCCAATTTAAACCCCTCAAGAAACATATCAACACCCCACATATCAACAGTGCTGACACTAAGAGCAAGATATTGAGAAGCACGCGAAGACCTCCTATTTTCAAAGAAATGGCAAGTTAAGTCTGAAAAATGCAAAAATTGCATACGAAAGCTGCACTCTTCACATTTAAAATGCATTTTTGATTTTTGTCGAGAAGACACTCTCATCAAAAGATATCGAATTTTTACCGTCGTGTCGAGACAAATTAAATTTAAAAAAGTTATTTAGCTCGCGTAACTGACATTCAAAATCGCCGGTCGCTTGAAGCGTCGTTTCTGAGAGAACTGTTCATTCTATACAAAAAGTGTTAATAAACATTTTTGTTTAAAATACAGATTCTTAGTAAATCGATGTTTTCAGTTTTCAGCAAAACTCAGCTTGTTCGTCTTGTTTTTAGCGATAAATTCTCTGATGATTGGACTAAAATTAGCTGATGTGACGCGCGAGAATAGCGCTGCACCAGCTAATTGGAACATGCCATGTATTACAAGCAAACCTGAGGGCTTCAACCAACCGAGACGAATTTGGACCACACTCAATAGAATAAGGACGAACTGTGGCCGATGTTCCGACTCACTTTTTAGATGGGGAAAAATACAATCACCAAATTGCGACTGCGGCGCCGAAAGGCAAACAGTAAAACACATGGTAGAGGAATGCCCGATTAGATCCTATAACGGCAACCCTTCGGATTTCCTGGCTGCTACAAAAGAGTGAATCGAATATATTTATAATCTAGATGTTTGTTTGTAGAATAATATTTTTCTATTTACTGTTGTTTGTAATAAATACATATATATATATATATATATATATATATATATATTATATATATATATATATATATATATAATATATAATATATATATATATAATATATATATATAAATATATATATATATATATATATATATATATATATATATATATATATATATATATATATATATGAACCTGTGATGTAGCCATAAGCTAAATAAATAAGCTGATGTGACTCATCATGCTCTATACATCAATAGGATTTGAGTTAAAACTTATGTATTTTTTAGAACGCCTCTGCTGATTTTTACCATAATTATCTTATTGTCTACTGCTACTGTAAATCACTCTTCTTAATCTTAAAATCCTCTATTCTAGATTTAAATTCGACTGTAATAACATTTGATATGTATGTTGTGCACTTACTTTTAATGGTCCACAAGTACCGTATATATCTACTGGAATGTATTTGCCAAGTTCTCTGGCATATGCTAAACGGCCATTACGGGCTCCGCAGTTCGATACGAACCATGCAACTTTTTTCGTCTTATTAACGGAGTAGTCTTTCGCTTGGACCTTCTGGCGTACCTGAAAGAAAAAATAAAAAATATTTTAAATAATCATAATATACTTAATAAATTGTTAACAAAAATTTAATTTTTTTAAAAATACTTCGCACCACATGAGTTTTTCTTTTATGAAGGCCATCTACTTTGGATCGCAAAAAATATACATCACCGTATGTGTGTAACTAGGCAGCAACCTCTTAAGTAATTGAATATAACTCTTAAGTACTACTACCGAAGAAATTCAACTAGACGGGACTAGACTAAGCTAGGTCGTAGGGGTAACGAATATTTAGGGAGAAAAGAAAGGGATTCATATCTTCTGTTGCAAAATACGCCGCACTCTATACAACGAATTATAAAAAATTAATTTTGGAAGATGTTGCATTTTATCTGTCATTTAAAGTAAATGGCGTTACTTAGCGTGACTACTCTGTTAAGCGGGAAGCTTCCTTATCCGAGTTAGTTTTTGGCTCTACCACTGATAGATGGGGTCCAACTACACAGATCAAAACTTGTAGAGTGAACATATTGTACTTTTAGACAGAACAGATGGCATTTGTGCCTTCTGGTTTATAATAAGCCGATTTTTATAAAATTTTATTTTGTTCGTATTTAAATATTTTGAATATGTTATACGAATTATAATAAGACAGACAAGAATCTTTTGCAAGAAATATTCAAAGGTCAAAAGTCCAGGTTGTTTAGAAACAGGTTATTTAGTGTCAGAACGTGGTTTGTGATGTATTAAAACCGAAATTCTTTAAATTTATAAGAATGTCCATGTTTAGTATTTTCACGTGATAAATGAACAACAAAAATGTTGAGCCGATGGAATGTGTTTTGAATACATTGGACATTTTTTGATAACAGGTTTTTAGTAGACAGTGCCTAGAATGACCCAGGAAAGGATAATATCGAGATAAATCTCATAGAGAATCTCATAAATAATAATAATAATAATAATATAATAGTTATATAATTAAGTATATATTAAGTCATCATCATCATCTTGGTGCTTAGAGGGTCTTCATCAACCTTCTCCACTATCATTATCACCTCACACTTAGTTACGTTCATTCACCCTAACTACTGCATTACTTTCGATTATTATTAAGTAAATACATACAAAATCGGAACGTAAAACTTACAGTGAAAAACTCGAATTTTTGTTCTTTTTTATTTTAATTTTGTAATTTCTTTTGTCGCAAAACATCAATAATTAACAAAAGTTGCAAACACAGGTATTTTTTTTACAACCGTCAACTTTATTATAAAAGCAGATATTTTTCCACACAAGACAACTTCCTTAAACAAGGAAATCTTTTCGATGTATGCTAAACTAAAATTTTGAAGCGAATCGGTAATTATTTTTGTACAAGAATTTATTTTTCTTAATTAATTATTTGTTTAATTTAAAAAAAAAAAAACGAATATAGTTAGATCTACATATACCCGGTATTTAGGCGGCACACGCCCTTCCGGTAGGGATCTATGGAGGAGTATCACCGAGCCGCAAGCTCTTATCTCTTGCCGTACTGCTCCACCATAGGCCGATCAGACACCAGCATATTCTAGTCTAAGCCGCAGATTCATTTAGAATTTTAAACTGCTGCGTTAGCCTTTTTGTTTTCTGTACACCGAGCTGGGGATCGAACTCACATCACTCGCAGTGAAGCGAATGAGAAGCCGGCCGCCCAGCCCGCTTGGCTATCTGACCGACATATAATTAGATCTACGGATAATAAATAAAATCATCACTCACCTGTGGATCAAAGTAAGTCCATCTCTCGTAGGGAGCTACAATATCACTGTCCCGCCTATAAGTGGCGGTCCAATTAATGAGATCAGCGAATTTTACACTTTGCGTGTGATACGGACATTCCAGAAAATAAATGATCCATATCTGAAACAACACCCAATATTTTTAATTATTCTTATATTACGTTTCGATATTATTTTTATTCTGATCCAAATTGCTAGGGACAACGAAACTGCTGAACTGCATCAGCCATCTTCAAGAGCAACATGTCAAACTGTTTGAAAAAAAATGTTAGACCAATGTATGCTTCTAGTTATGACTTACGGTGCCAAAAAACTTAATTTAAGCCAGGTTTAAAAGTAGGCCAAAGACGAATAGAACGCTCCTTACTTGGACTGACTCTCAGAGACAGAGTTAGAAACGAAGAAATAAGAAGAAGGACAGGCGTCACAGATGCCATATAGCGTATAGTATGGCTGAAGTGGAACTGGGCCAGAATAAATGACGGGCGATGGCACGAAAAAATTACATGAGACCACGAGCTGACAGAAGAAGCAGGGGACCACCTACACGAGGGACAGACGGCGTCAAAAGAATCGTCGGGAATTGGCTGTAAGAAGCTCAAGACCGACAGAACTGGAAAAAACTACGGTAGGCCTATGTCCAACTTTGGACACAGAAGGTTGTATGATGATGATAGTGATGATTATTTTTATAAAGAATATTAAGTAATGATCTTCTACTACTTATTGTGCCGTGCACCTATAGTGCGGTGGCGAATTATTGTCTCTCCAGGTGCCATTTTAGTCTATTATTAATAATTTTTACACAATAGCGCATGCAATCTTGTATTTTTTTCATTTTTGAAATTATTTTTATAAAGAATTATATCTAGATTGTATCTGGCCAAAATTATTTGGAGCATCGGAAGGTTATTGTAAAAACCGTTAATGTCCTGACTAAAACTTCGGAATGTTACAGAAGTTAAAGACTCGATCCCTGAGATAACTCACTTTCAGTCTCTGATGCCTCAGTATCCGAGTAAATCATCTGTAAATGTATCAGTAGTTTCTTTCTTATTTTTGTACATCTTTAATGAATCTTTGAAATAAGGTTATGTTGCTGTTTAGCATTTTCACTAAAGATTTAGAATCGTTAGTGTAGTTTTTTATGACGCTGACTGGATCCTGTGCACCATAAATATTTTCAAATAGATCGGATATTTGATTAATATCAAGAATACACGGAAGGTTTTGATTTGAGATGAATGTCTTGACCGGTTGAATAAATATGGGAGTTGGAGTCTTTTTCTTACTTTGTTTTTTGTTTTTTTTTGGATGGAACATCATTTGGTTTAATAAACGGGTCTAGACTTGGGTTTTCTGAGTCAGCTTCTTGCGCTGGGGGAGGTGTGACTGTTTCTTCCAAACTGTGTTTTGAGCTATTTTGTGTAGACTGGGTTGTATCTATATTGATGATTGGTTGTTAGGTTAAAGGTTTTGAGGGGTCAGTTAAAAAAGTATTTGGGGATGTGTGCATTGCGAAAATGTTTGGGAGTGGGAGTGGGGCTTTAGGTTTGGTTATAATTTTCAGAAACTGATTCTTGGGTTTTTTGAGAATTTGCTGCAGTGTGGCCTTGCCTTTTACATAAAAAACATAGCAAGGAATCTTGTGACAAAAAAATCCTATAGTTGGTGTTATCATAATTAATTAATATGGATTCAGGTATTGAGACAAGCGGTGGTGTGATAAAAAATTGTCGTCTAAAACTATAAACGTGGCTGAATTCTGGCAAACCGGCAACTTATCTTGTGTGCGTGCTTGGACATCTTGGTTATTAATTTCTATAGACCGTCCATAATTATTCATGAAATGTTCAACAACGTTTTTGTGTGCAAGTTGCATACACACTCTGTCATTAGAAAACCGTGAGGAAAATATGATATTTTTGGGCACGATCAACGTTCCTAGTGGAATTAGGTAATTTGGAAGTTTTAAGTTTTCAATGGCTGGGAATACAATAGCTTGATCTTTGGTAGAGAATTGTTGTTCAATCACAGCAGAAGAATAAGTTTCAGATTTGTTTTCCTTTTGGAAGCTTCTACAGTCAGAAGTTCCGTCAGTTATCATGTCCTTATAGATAGCGAATAAACTTAATTTCCGTGAAATCATTATGTTTTATATAATTTTAAAGAGAACTTACAGGATAGAAGTCAACGCACTCTTATGCACTTATATTGAGAAAATAATAAAAAAAAAATTATTAACTACTATCTAAATAACTGTTTTTGTTTATGGGCCTCTTTTACCAAACACTTTGACTTTAATAATTAACTGAAGTAAGCCACATTTCTCATGATTTCTAATATTAGATCCAAAGTGCTCTAATTTACATTTTTTATTGTGATAAGCACTTCACGTTCTTTTGTCGTTCTGAAAAGAACTTTGGAATTCTCCACTCAATCAACCCATGAGATCCGTAATATTAGTTTGTAGCACCACATCTCAAAAGCCTCCAGCTTCTTCATAGATGTCTTTGAAAAAGTCCAAGCGTTCACTCCGTATAGCGAAACCCAAAGTATGTAGCATTTCAGTAGTCAACAAAGTGTCTCTCATTGAGATGAGAGTGTGATACACGCTTCAATAAACTTTCAATGCTTGTCCTCCTTATCTTAAAATAATGTCTTAGTCTTCTTAATGAGATAAGAAATCTCTTAATGAAATCTCTTAAAGAAGTCTCGTAATGAAATAAATCTTAAAATAATGTCTTAGTTTTTTTAATGACCTCCTCATTTGATCTAAATCGCTTTCTGGGGAAAGCGATTTAGATCAAATTTAGATTAGATCAAAAATAGATGATTTAGATTTTTTCATTCTTTTGAGGTCTGCAAACATTCAGAAGTTACTGGGAACCAGATCTCAAGAATATGGTTGTACGGAAGCAATTGGATGTTCACTTCATGTATACTAGCTCCAGCGAGTCATTGCATATACGCCATTATTCCGTTTATTCTTCTTCAAGTGCCATCTAAGCGGCGGAGGTCGGCAATCATCATAGCTATTCGGACTTTTGAGACGGCTGCTCTGAAAAGTTCATTTGATGTACATTCGTACATCATAAACACTGTACATGAAGATAATATCGTCGATGTGGTGTGATATGTTAAACTAATAAGAAGTTAGAATAGGAATTAGAGCCTAGGATACCATTCTCGTTATTAGCGTATAAATATGTACTTACCCTACGAAACCGAATACTA